TACTCATTGTGGCACAATTAGCATTTTAATTTTAGTGATTTTTTTAAAAAATTTCAACTGTCCGGTGACTTTTGATATCCCACTGTACGTATGAATACAAAAAATTAAGGAATCCAGAATATTACAATTAGTATAATAAAGTAAAAGGTTTTACAAGTATTTTAAAAAATAGATAATTCGTTTGATTCGTTTTAGTATAAAAGATATAAAAAGGCAAGACGATTTTTTAATAGTATGGTTACAATAAAGATCGTCATTCTAACGATTTAGCTTCGAGAAATCTCGGTATTCAACTTACCGCAAAGTGTCACATAAAATACCTGGGTATGTTACATCCCGCTTCTTGGTACCTGGGAGGGTATATTGTATGGAATAGAGATGATGGTGAAATTACCTAATTTCACCAATGATACTGGTGTAACTGGTACATCAAAGGTGCAACTTAAAAGTAATTTATGTACCTGGTGAAAAAAAATAATATTGGTGATATATATAATAATGGTGAAACTGGTGATAATGGTGAAACTATGATATTGGTGAAATATGGTGAAATTGGTAAATGAAACTGGAGAAACAGTTTCATCAATAATTTATAAAAATTTTGATTTATAAAAAATATAAATAATAAAATAATAATGTAAATTTTAAAATTTCTTTATTTATTTATGAATATTTATATTAAACTATTATATGACAAATAATAAAATGAATACTAAAATAATAAAATTACTATTTTATTCTTCATTTAATGCACTTTGTGCTTATTTAATTGGATCATATTCTATATTACTTATATTACAACTTCTTGTATTTGTATCTAATCTATTATTAGTAAATAAATTATTTTTGGTAATTAAAAATGCAGGTAATATTAAGTCAACAAATTGATTTATATTTAAACTAGTAGATAATTCATTTTCAAATTTCTGTATTTTCTTATAAATTTTCATTTCTTTCATATTCTATATTTTCATCTCTTTCTAAAATTTCATTTTTTTTCAAATGTATCATAGGTAATTACAGATTCATTAATATTATTACATAATTTATGTTCACTTAAATTCTTATCACAAAATCGTATTTCTTTATTTGTGTTGAAAATATAATAAGATCAAATTTTTACCATGAATTCAATTTTTGATAAACTTAAATTCATACATTTTTCTCCAAAAAATCATTTAAATATAGAAAAATTCATTTTACAAACTGTTCAAGATAGAACAATTGAAAATAATAACAATGCCAATTCTTGTAATTGATTAGTTTTATCCTCTTGAATATTAATACTTAATTACCATTTTATTGGAGTTTTTTGATATATGTCATAAGTAAGATTGTAAGGTGTCATATTTCTTTTCCATAATCTCATTTTCATTAAAAGCTTAAGGCATAATTCTTCACTGTGTCCTAAATTATACCATATTATTGATACAATTTTATAAATTTTATTTAATACTGCTTGTTTTAATCCCATACCTATAATTTAATAAAAGTTTTATTAAATCTATTAAAAATTTCTTAAATATTTTTAAAAAATTAAAATTATTTCTATATAAAGAATAAAACCAATATGCAAGAATATAACTTTTATTAATAAATTCTCCTAAATGACAATTATAATTAGAAATAATTATAAGTTTCCATGGGTTTCCAAATGAAATTTGATTAATTTTTGTATCAAGTTTATTAATCCAATAAAACAATTAGCCAAATTTGTATCTCATGCTTCAAAAACATTTGTTAACTCTTTTACTGGTTTGAGAATAGATGCTATTTGATAACGATTTAAATAAAACTCTTTATTTTGAAGTAAAGTATATACTTTTATATTTGTAATTACTTCTGAATGATTTTCTGTAATTTGAAAAATAAATAATAAATTAATAATAGATTATAAATATATAAATACAAATTTTAAATATTTACTTAATAAAATACTGGTTTTGATTGTGTAATAGAATTAGTTGTAATATATAATGTATCCCATTTTGTTTTACAATAAGATTTAATTTCATTTCCTTTAATTTTCATTATATTTAATTATTCTTTATAATAACTATGTGCAACATATGAATATTAAAAAGTCCAATAATACTATCACAGTTAGAACTAATTTTTTTAACAGATTCAATCTCTGCAAAATCTGAAGTAACTAAATTAATTACATGAATCATATATCTTAAATTTAAAATAAAGCAATGTCAATTAAAATTACTACGATAAACTTTGAAGAATATTGTTAACAGTGCAATGTCAATTAAAAATTGCAGTAACATAAATGCAAGTGATGACCATCAAAACAATATATTATGAATATCTAACATAAACAAAAGTTATTGATATAAAATTACTATGAAAATAATAATAATTGTAAAATTTCACACATGAAGATATCAAAATTAATATTCTTCAAAGGTTATCGATACAAATTTACTATGAAAACAATAATATTTGCAAAATTTCGTCACGTTAAAATATCAAAATCGATAATCTTCAAAGGTTAGTGAAGATCTTTGAAGGATAATATATCGAAAAACAGCAAAATACTTATATTAACATTAATTTCAAAGATTTTCACTAAAAAAAATTTCCTAATGGTAGAATTCTTTTTAGTTCAACTTTATAAATTAAAAAATTCAATTAAATGGTTAGCTAATAACTTAAAAAATAGTAAGTATTAATTGATATTCATGATTTTAATATTATGGATCAACTTTTATTCACTTCAACAGAATGAAAAATTATTCAAAATTTAATAAAATTATTAGTCTCTGTTAAACAAGCAACAAGATTATTAGGAGGAGAAAATTATATAATATTAGCTCTTACTGCTTCAATAATTGATGAAGTTATACATAATTTTAAAAATATAAAATCAAAAAATACTATTATTACAAATACTACAATTTCAAATATTTGTAATACTATTTTAAATGATTTTAAAACAAGATGGAATATTCCAAATAATTATAGATTAATTGCATTATTTTTAGATCCTAGATTTAAAAATTTAACTTTTTGCTTACAAGTAAGTATATATCTTTTTAATTAAAAATAATATA